CTCTCCGGTGTCCTCCCCTCCCCCCCACCCACACACCATTTCTCAAGGGCCCTTGGAATGACATCTCTATTAATATCTATTTTCAGACTTAATCGATTTACAGAGATAGAAGAAGCCCTAAGACGATCATCTCTGCAACTAGTCGATTGAGGTAGTCTACTTAAGATACCCACCTTTGTAAATGACTAACAAAGGTGCTCGATCATTTGCAAAGGCAGCGAGTCTTAAAAATACCAATCTCTGTTGATCAAGGGATCTATCTTCTAAAATAGTGTCATTACGGCATGTTGCGCGGTTTACTCGCCCTGCTCGGTTGCGTGCGCCAGAGCGCAGGTGGCTTCCCTGGCGTGGCTGGTGAATAGTATATGGGCGAAACCCCCACCTGGCTTCTTGCCCTGGGCCGGGCACGCCAACATCATCCACTTTCTTGGAGGTGTCGTTGAAGTTATCTGTTCGTCGAAGGGGTTCTTGGGACATTTGGGGACGAAATGCCCTCTTGGGTGCTTCTCCCAACGCTATTGGCATCCGCAGAAGTCATCCCCTTCTTGAAGGCTCCGTTGCTGCACCCCACCAGACGTGCCTCTGCTGCTCCTCCAGTGCCGATCACCGGAGTCGCTCCTCACTGTGTTTGTGCCTACGTGTGCCTCATTCCACTCTTGGTATCGGTCTATCCTGCCTCAGTTGGTGTTGCCGCAGTCGCTCGATTCTTCAGGATACTTTGCCGTTATCGCACTTTTTTGGCGGATGCTTGCCGCCATTTCTGCTCAATCTTTTGTAGCGGATACTTTGCCGCTACCACTCTTCTTCGACGGATGTTGTGCCGTCGTTGCTGCTCAGGGCGGATGCTTTGGCGCCATTGTCGCTTCGTCTCTGCCCTTTGTAGATGCTTTGCTGTTGAGTGCAAGATGGCCCACTTGCGGATAGTTTGCCGCCTCGTCGTCTATGGCGGATGCTTCACCGCCGTGTGTTTTCATAGCGGATACTCTGCCGTTACTGTTTTTGCCGTCGTAATCTCGTCTCTTCTCAGTGGTTGCTTTGCCACACAGCTTCATCTCCTCTGTTGACAGCCATTACGTTGTTGTATTTTTCTTGCAGGTCCAGTCGATTAGGTTTGTGGCGGAGAGCCCTCTCCTCTAATTATCGCCTTTCTTGCTTGTTTGTTTTTTCGGGTGTCTGGGGGAGGGGGATTCTTGGTAATCTTGAGATTACCGCCTCTTGCTCTAAAACAAACATCTTCTGCTTAATGAAATACGTGATACGATACGGTCGCGAAAACAAAGCAACTTTATTCTACTCACCTTCTCAGTTCTCTCACTGTTTTAGCAAAGCTCAAACTCTACGCCTCTTGACCATATCAAGTGCATACAGGACGAGGATGATGCCTGCGCGGCTTCTCTTTCGATCGTTTAACTTTTTGTGCGGGTAACAACGACAGTGATGTTTCGAAAGAAAAAAAATAGACTCTGATTAATATGGCGGTTAGGTGCCGGTGGGGGGCATGGGACGTGATGTACTAGCCCAATAGCCAATAGAGATGGGACCAATGTTAGAACTTAGAAGTCGTTTGGATTCAATGACTAAAATTTAGGTGGTGTCATTTTAGAGTGTCGTATAGAGTGTTCGAATACTAATAAAAAAATAAATTACAGAATCCGTAGTACTCCACGAGAAGAATTTATTAAGCCTAATTAATCCATCGTTAGCATATGTTTACTGTAGCACCACATTGTCAAATCATAGACTAATTAGGCTTAAAAGATCCATCTCGCAAATTAGTCATAAACTGTGCAATTAATTTTGTAATTAGTCTATATTTAATACTCCATACATGTATCAAATATTCGATGGGACATCGACTAAAATTTAGGAAGAGAAACCACACGGCTCTTAGAATTGACTACAATCAATTAGAAGACGACGAGACAGTTGGATTTCATACATCTCTCTCCGTGTCTAGCTCGCACTCTATTAAATATGCTGCTATCAGCCATCTTATATCCTTCACCTGGCCCAGAAGAAATAAACCAACTGGACAGTTGGGAAGGAGCTCTGAGAAAAAGGGCTACTCCGGAAGAAGCAGGTATATTTGCTAGGGCATTGTAAAAGAAAAAAAAAACTCAGAAAGCTATCTTACGTGGGGTTTTGTTTTTTTTTCTTCTGAAAACGGACTATGGAGGGAGGGATTCCTCGCCCAGATACTATTGATTTATCATCAACAGCCTTATTTATCGGCGTTTTATGAAAGTTACGAGTCAGTTTTCTTGTATTTTGAATGATAAATGGATATAGTTTGATTCGTATTTAATTGTAGCTATTATCACGCCTATTTCTTGTGGCAGGACAAGATCGTGAAGTAATAATGTCAGGGGCTTTAGATCTTGCTCGGAGCACGGGAGGGTCGATTGACAAGGACCAAGTCAAATCGGCCGTTGACCAGTAATTCACATTTTCATTATTACTTTGTATACTTCCTTCCTTTTACACAGATAGGAGCCCATCAAGTGCAAGTTTGTTCCAAAAGAAACTAAAAGAAAAAAATATTATTAACTTTGACCACTATAATACCAAAAGTTTTGTATATAGATTCATAACACAAGGTTTTGGCACTATCCGGACTCATTATGAGAGAAAAAAAAACTAATCTCCAACATTTTCAAATAGAGGGAATACTATAACTGTTTTCTTGTGTATATTTTTTTTAAAAAAATCCGGTACAAAGAACTCTTAGAGCATCTCTAGTGTGCTTTAAACCGAATCACGAGGAGACATAAGGACCCTCTAGTCGTAGCGAGTCACAGGAAGTCAGAGCCCTCTTAAGGGCTCGTTCGTTTGGTTCGGTTGCTCCTGTTCCTGAACCGTTCTAGGAGCAGATATAGTGATTCCAGGTGTGCCACTCCAACCTGATTGGTTATAGACGGTTTGGCTCTGAAGGGTAGGGGACAAGTTTTCATTCCGGACCCTGGAAGAAAGAACATATCTCCATTCCAGCCTTTTTCATTCCATGACGCGTCCAACCAAAAACACATTTCTGCAGCCTGTTTGGTTGGCTGATTCGTATCGTTGCTGGTTCGTGAAGAAGTACTGCTGGCTGGTTTGTATGAGAGAAAAATACTGTTCCGACTGGAAATTTACGATCGTTTACGATAAGCCACAGCCAAACGAACAGGCTGCTAGTCTAAACTGACTTCAAACCAAACCGTAACGATCCAGGCAGAACAAGCCATGTTCCGGGCCGTTCCGGCCGAACCGAACGAAACCTAACAGCCTCCTCGGTTGGCTCCTTCAGTAAAATTCTTTGATTCGTTTATGTGAGAAGAATGCTCAGATAAGCCATGCCAAACACCCCCTAAATGGAAGTCACCTGCTCCGTACTTTTTTTCTATTCGGTGTAGCCCCCAACAGCCAACTGACTATCATGCTTCACGCACTCACGCCGCACCTGAATCATGCGCAACACACGGTTCCATCTCAACATTCCGACATGGGAGCTGCCCTTAGGCCAAACTCAATAGAAATTTCGTAAAAGTTTTATAGACGTGCCTTTATAGACAGTAGATAAATTAACATGATATAGTATAGATGAAGAAAGATGATGAAAGTTTCATACAATGAAATAAGTTGCATAGTAATGAAACTTATCTACACTATTTTAACACATACTTTCTCCGTCCCAAAAATAAGCGCACTTCTAGATTTTGTTGGAGAGATCAGAGATACTAGGGAAATTACTTATATACCCCTACTAAAATTGTTTTAACAAGTAATAGTTGTACCTTGGGAATAGATAAAGCTAAAAAAAGGCTACCAAAGTTAGATAGTCCATATCTAGATGTGGACCTTATTTTGGAGCAGCTATTACGGGGGTGGAGGGAGTAGGAGCCTTGGGCCCTGTTTGTTTCAACTTAAAGCGTGTTTGGCACAGCTCTTAGAGGCTCCGGCTCATGCACTATATGTGTACTGTAGCGAGGAGCCGGAGAAGCTTCAAATCATGGCTCCACCGGTTTCTCCTCTTCTCAGTTCATTTTTACCTCAAAATCCGAAACGACTTCATGTTACAGTGTTGCTGTAGTGATTTTGAGGAGGAGCCAGAGCCCCTAGGAGCCATGCTAAACACGGCCTTATTGTGAGCTTTTAGATCTCATTTCCCCTGGGAGCCATGCTAAACACGGCCTTATTGTGAGCTTTTAGATCTCAGTTTTGAGACCTTACAAAAGGCAAAAAGCTCTTGGAAACCAAAAGATAGAAGCTTCTCAAAATGAGCTTTTGGCTCGTGGCAGCTTTTTTGGTTTTTAAAAGGTTTCAAAGCTAAATGTCCCAGAGCTCCCAAGATGAACAACATGTTCGCTTGGTCGTATTTGACTTATAAGTCATGGCTTATCAGCCAACGAATAGTATTTTTCTCTCATACTAAACCAGTCAATAGTATTTTCAGCCATGGCCAAACGAACGGGCAGAAAACAAACATCACCTTAATAGGGAACTCCACAAAGACAGGCTCGGAGAACAAGCAGGAAGGGACATTCATGGCCAAAAGCCCATCAAGCTAAAATTCTGGCACATTGTTCCTGCCTCCCTAATCATCAGGGCCGGCCCTGGGGGCGGGCAAGTGGGGCCGTCGCCCCGGCCCCCTAATTCCAAAGGGCCCCACCGCAAGTATGTACACATAGATATATCGTATATGTATATGGCCTGTCAACTGTCAAGGCCCACTGGCCCAGCAACGAAGAGTAGCTGCCCTGCCCAAGCCGTCAAGTCCGCGGGCACACACGGACATGCGAATCGCGACTCCTCAACCTCGAGTCCTCGTGCTCGGTGGCGACGCGAGATGCAATCGTGCTCGCGCGGCGGGCTGGCGGCGACGCGAGACGCGAGTCTGGGTTCACTCGAGAGGCGACGCAAGCTTCTGTATCTGCTCCGTATGAGTATGATCCAGTATGCCTCAAAACCCCAATGTCGGTGATTTAATTAGATTAAATATGTGCGTCCTTTGCTGGCCGGTGATGGAATTGACCGCTGTAGCACTGAAGCTTGCTGATTCCTTGCTGGCTACTCGTGCTCGCTTGAAGGTAGGGTACAAGAACAACATTGGCAATAGGTTGAAGGTAATTTAATATCAAGATTTTAAATCTTCCGGCTATATCTTTCACTATCTTCAACTATAGTTGTTTGAGAAAGATTTAACTATATTTTTTCACGTACAATTTTGCTCTTAGCTGCCGCTATAGGTTGTTTTGGGACACAATTAGGTAGCTAAATGCCTTGGTCGGCTATTTAAACCATAATTTAATATATATGAATTATTTCTTATGAATATGGTTTTTGCGTATAAAACTAAGTGTTTATCAGTAACATTTCATACATGTTTAATATAGTATTGTCACCAGCGTGAACGTAGAAGAGCCCCTGATTTTTGGTTTCGTCCCGGGTCAAAAAAAAAAAAAAAAAAAAAACAGGACCGGCCCTGCTTTTACACGTGCACCTTCTTGGTTTCACCAAATGGCCGCCTGGGCCGGCCTGCCGTCGCGGGCCCCCAAGGTCGCCTCTTCCCCCTCACTCTTCGCTAGTCCACCTCTCCCTCCGTCCGCGTAATCGAGCCGGCGATGGACACGGCGTGATAGTTCTACTCCTACTTCTTTCCGCAGCCGCACGCAAGTTGTTCGACGAATTGCCGGAGCCAGCTGAACATCACCGGAGGCGCTCCCCGACCCCGGCCCCGGCCCCGGCCCCGGCAATCCTGCCCGGTTCCTCGGCCGAAGCTAGCCGCGTCTAGGCATTGGCATCGTTTCAGCCTAATCTGCACTGTTATTCAATACTATACACCATTTTTTGGAGGCGGGGGCGGGGGCGGGGGCTGTAGCACCTTTCCTCCGACCCTCGACCCACCAGCTGCCCCTGGTGAGCGTTACTTTTTTCCCCCTCTAAATGCTATCCTCATTTATTTTTCGTGAGAGCCATGCATGAATATGTAACATATACTTTATTTTGTTATAAAAGTTTAAAGCACTTCAGTCGTCCTCCGACCTTACACATATGATCAAGTGTTAATTTCTCGTTCTCATCAGGTACTTGAAGTACCACGACCTACACGGAGGTGAACAAGAATCAAGGAAATCAAATTACACTGATCTGGTAGCCTTCAGTATCCATTCAACACTTACTTAATTATTGCCCCCCCATTTATAAATATCAGATGTTTAGGATAGGTTAATTAGTTCATTTTGACATAACTGTCATATATCTATAATCGCATATGCACAATTCCTACTGTGCGAATCAGGTGAATAAGTACTACGATCTTGTCACTGGCTTCTATGAATATGGATGGGGCGACTCATTCCATTTTGTTGGCAGGTCAGCTACATATACATACCTTGCTCAGTTTTTACTATCTATCAACAATAACAACATCCGTTGTATCTCAGTTGAGATGCCGAGTTGCTCTAGATCACAGTTTTGTAATTTTACTGCTTCAATCCCATGTCTGTATTTCAGAGATCCGGGTGAGACTATCCGTGAAGGCATTAAGCGGCATCAGCATTTTATGGCACTACAATTGGGGCTCAAGAAGGACATGAAGGTCAGTGGAGAAGCATAATTCTTTTGCTAATTAACTATACATGGTATTTTCATTTAAAAAACAACAGAGGATATTAAGCAGTACTGTTAAACATTAAAATATATGTGTACGTTGCAAGTAAACTCTATAGCACAATTGCTTTTCCCTCTGATACCACCAATATACTGCCTCAATTCATCCAAAACACATGTAGTTAATAATGAGTCTACAATCAGTGTATCAACCCTTAACTTTTTTTTTTTTGCTTAGTCTTTAGCATACCATCCATGACAAACTAAAACGTTTATTGCAGGTCCTGGACGTGGGATGTGGAATTGGGGGACCCTTAATAGAAATTGCCAGATTCAGGCAATGATCTGCACTAAAGCTTCGTTACTCATTCAATCAATAAATTCCAACGTGAGAATCGTGAAGAGCATATATGCTTATGAATTTTTAATTCTATTTACTGTAGCTCAGCACTGATAACTGGATTGAACAACGACTACCAGATCTCAAGGGGCAAGGTTTTTATTTAATCATTTTCCTTTTTGGAATAAAAAAACTTTAGCATATGGATATGCAACACTTAATTTTTGGTTGCAGGAGCTCATTTTTTCAGCAGGTTTGAGTGAGCAATGTTCCTTCTTGAAGGTATATTGGTGTTCATAGTTTTCTTCATTATATCCGTTAGTTCCGGTTAGTGGAGAAGAAACAGTAATGTCTTATGTTCTCTTGGTAATTGCAGGGGACTTCATGAACATGCCAATAGCTGATAACACCTTTGATGTGGCCTATGCAATAGATGCTACATGTCATGCACCAGATGCGGTATGTCTCGCATCATACTTCTGTCCAAATCACAATTTAAGTTTTCACAGGAATATGCAGATTCAGTAGTGTTCTTTCATCCCTGGTTATCGCAGCAAGGCGTCTACAGTGAGGTCTACCGTGTGCTGAAACCTGGGCAGTGTTTTGCACTAGCTGAATGGCGCTTGACTGACCGATTTGATCCAAACAACGCTAAGCATTTGACCATCAAGGCTGAGATTGAGCTTGGCGATGGCCTGCCTGACATCCGTACCACTCGCCAGTGTGTCCAAGCTATGAAAGATGCAGGATTCGAGGTGTCATACTCATGTGTTATTAACCGGTAATACTGTTACCATAGAAGATTCATGTGAACCGGAATGATCTGTTTTTCCTTATTACTAGAAAGTGCTGCGCGGCCTTGCCGGGCAGGCCCAGTATTTGACCTCGAGTGGCGTCCTTGGTGGCCGTCGTCTTGCCGAAGGCCTCGTCGAGTGTCAATAGGTTTATATATATAGGCCCTGTTTGGTTGGTCTTTTGGCTTTGGCTTTTGGCCCCAAAAGCCAAAAGCCCAACCAAAGGGGCTGCTTTTGGAGGGTGCTTTTTCAGAAGCAGCTGCTTTTCCGTAGTTCATTTTTGAAAGCTGGGTTAACCCTGCTTTTGGCTTTTGGCTTTCTGCTTTTCGAAATTGGTGGAATAAAAAGCTCTTTCATAGTTGTTTCAAGAGAGATAAAGATAAAAGGTATATTTTATACTTGTTTAACCAAACAGCTATTTTCCACGACTCATGCCCACAAAGACTTTTCCCACAGCCACAGCTCAACCAAACAGGGCCATAGTCTAGGAAAAAGTGGCTTTGGATTAGGCCAAAGCTTCCGTTTGTTGCAATGAAGGAGCTGTGAATCAAGAATACAGTGATAATCATAATGTCGAGACAGGCCTTGAGATCTTGCAAGTATATGTTGCCTCCTACATAAGACTGGCGAAATAGATCAGCCAGAGAATAAGCTATCACTCTGTTCGCTGATGCTAAAATTTGGCTTATGCTGATACTTATGCTGAAATATTGTGAGAGGAAAATATTATTCCATGGCTGAAAAGTAGTTCTGAATAAGCTCAAGCGGGCCTGGCAACCATTTCACAGTAGAACTCCACGCAAAGCAATGCAACTGAATAACCTTAAATACAAGCTTACAGTTTTGGACAAATGTTCCATCACTGGAAAATAAAACCTACTGTATTTTCTTGTGTTTTACATTTTAGAATGGGAGCTTGTACTGTGAACTTCATAGCCAAATGGGAGGTTGTGGCCGTCTCTTTTTTTCATCATATTGCTTAATTAGAAGTACTACGTAGCTATTTTACTTAGAAGTCTTCGTTTGAACCATAGCATTTTGAAAAAGTGCATGGCATGTGTTTGAACCTGCAAACAGGAAGCTGATAAGTAGCTAAAATTATGGACTTCAAATCTCAAATTAGTTTGGAGGATGCGGGAAAATAGCTGCTCTAGGTTATAATTGACAGAAATGTTGCTTAAGAAACATTCAAATTGAAGTTGATAAATAAGATTAGGGCTTTCCAGGACAATTAGTACAAAGCATTCCTAGTATATGCATGAGTGATGACACTTAACACACCTGGATGACAGATCATGGCGTGTGCACTTCAAACGAGACTCCAGCTGCCTCTGGTATTGATTAGTGCTACAATCCATCCTCTGCATGGTTATGGGTGTATTGCTTCAAAGATCAGTAAGACGAAATCTTATTTTATAACATTGATCAGACCATTAATAGTAGGAACCACAAAATGTAAACACATTTTAGTCTGCAGAGGCCAAAGGGATGAATAAAGACCTCTGATGCCTCTATTGTCAAGTATCAGAATACACAGGACAGCTGAGAAGGCAGATGAAAATGTTGCATATTGCGATGGCACACATCCTTCTTTACAGTATCCCAAATTACCATAATTTTTTTTATTCAAATTTGCACCAAGGTAATAAGTTTGCAAAATGAGTGAGCTGCCAATTTTTGGACATTGCAAGGTATGATATAAGACAAACACCTAAATTCACAGATTGATAACAAAAGGAGATGGAAACATGGCAATGACTGAACCTGCAAAGCTATATGCAAAAAGGATATTAAGAACAACTCATGCTTATGCCCAATTGAGTACCCGAGGCTTTCTCAGTATCAGTAAACACAAATAGTCACTATGTAAACAGAACCTTTTGCAGGAAGGCAAGAATATAAATCATATGTCCTGAACTATCGACAAAGGATTCATCAGGAACCCTAGTTTAATTACAGATTATATGGAGTTTTCAATCTAACCCATTACCTTGCAACACAGGAAGCTGTATCTTCTTGTGGACTTTCGCCCCGTTCGCTTGGTTTATAAGCCATACTTTTTCGACCAACGAACAATATTTTCTCTCGTAACAAATCAGCCAACCATACTTTCAGCTATGCAGCCAAGCGAAGAGCATTTACTATGCTCCATGGCACCCCGGGCTGCTCGGTGCTCCGTTGGTTTGTTGAGCTGCTCCGACCATCCGATGTACCTGTGCCATTTCTTCGCGGCGGCCCTGCTCTGTTTTTTCTATGGGTTGCAGCAGAGGTTAAGTCCCTTTGGATGGGTGCCATCGCCACTTATGTCCCCGGAGCCGCAAGGCCGAGGCAGCAGCGCTTGCCGTAGTTGGCGACGCACATGGCGAGGCCTGACTCGCGAAGCCAGGCGGGGGATAACACCGTGCGCCTGTACGGGAGGACGGCCACGGTGGACACTCCCAGCGGGACATCAGCGATGGGAGGGATGAAGAGGGGGCACTGGTGCGGCTGACCGTCTACCTCCGTTTCCCCAGATCCGCGCGCGAGTGGCTGCAGAGAAAGGGGAGGAGGGAGAAGGGAAGACAAAGATGTGCGGAGGGAGGACCTAGCGGCGTGGGCACGGGGAAGGGAACGGGAGGATCGCGACCACAACGCCAAGGGCGCCGAGGACGCCATGGCAGGAGGCAGCGGGGCAGAGGACCGGCTGCGGCCGACCGGCCTAGGGCGGCGGTGGCGGCGACCGCGGGACAAAGGTGGGGAGAAGGGAGCGAGGCGAGGCAGGGCTTGCGCGGGGTCGCTTGCCGGCACACGTCACGCGTGGGTGCCTGGGCCACGGGGCCAGGTCTTTGCTAAACTCCAGCATCCCCTTGAGCATTGATGCCCGATCTGACGGCCTAGCTTTTACTGTGGACGTGGCCCAATGGGAAGCCCGAGAATGGTGCACAAATCGTATTAAGAGATTGAAGATCATCTTCACGAGGGACCTTGCTGAAGATTTTTCGTGCCCATGGTACCAGATGATAGCTCCGAACGAATTTTCATGGAAAAGTTTCCGATGCACACGTCCCGGACGCATGGTGACCCGTGCAATTGTAAGACGAAAGACTGCTCTTTAAGATAATTTTCTATCTGGACCTGCGGGGGAAAGTCACCCCGGGCATTGCATTAAGAAGAAGAACCTTCTCACGCAGGTTTAGAAAATCCCCGAACCCCTGCCCCATCTATACATAGTGGCACCGTACCCCTGTGAGAACAGGACCGTTTCTTAGACCTATGTTTTGACGTGGGATAGTTATGTTATCTACAGCTTTTGGTCAACAGACCTTTTACTCGGATCTAATCCCACCCCCCACTGGAGTTCTTCCGCATTGCCCCGGCAGGCAGCATGGGGGTCTACAACTTCCTGATGAGGGCCTCTGAAGGCCTTCTAAAGGGTGGCCAGTAAGTCATTTCACCTTTTTTTAGAGAAACGGAAATCTGACTATCTAGAGCCAGTTACAAGAAAAACTTCTAATCATATTTGCAAAAGTAAACAACCAAATCCCAGTTTTGTGAAACTAACAGATGCTGAATGATCTCAGGGAAGGGATCTTCACCACCGCCTTTTTCGTGCTGGGCCGCAAGCCTCTCAAGGAGACTGAAATAGTGAAGGGCAATCTTTGAGTTGCAACATAAGTATGGGGTTGTGCTTAAGAGCTATGAATAATGGCCTACTTGTTCTCAGTGCCGGCCCTAGGGGTAGGCCACGAGGTGCGTGCCCGAGGGCCCAAGTGGAGAAGGGGCCTAGGTCCAGGTATACAAACCTCCAGGTCCTATAGTCCATTAGGCATTAACAAACTAATGAGAAGAGAGACATAGAACTGGCCAGGCGGCCCAAAAAGACAACATCGTCATTTCTTTCCTAGTTTTCTTTTCCCACAACACTTGGGTAGAGAGGAGGCGAGGAGTCACGTTGCACACAGCACACTCTGATCGTGAGTTCGCGACGTGCGCCTTACACACGCGGAGCTGGCGAGCCGCGCCGCCACGAAGAGCTAGACTACCGGAGACACGGACACGTCGCACAAGGACGGTGACCAGGCAGGGCTCCACGACGATGACATCTTGTGTCGATGCAGAAAGTGACCAACACGTAAATATTTGTAGTTTTACCGTACGTTGTGATTGGAGGTGGCCTAGCACTCAATGACATAGGGTTTATACTGGTTTAGGCAACGTGGCCTACATCCAGTTTGAGTCGGTCGGTGACTTTATTCCTAAGCCTAGGTGCTCAAAGTTTGCAGTGGGGTTACAAACGGAAAGGAGAAAGATGTGGTGTACAAGAGGTTCGGTCGAACTCTGGTCTGAGGGGCCAAGAGTGATAGGAGCTCCGCTATGTGCTATGTGAACTTGATCGATCTAAATCAACTTGAATGACTCTCCCTGTTGGGAGAGAGCGCATCCCCTTTTATAGATGAATGGGATGGCCTTACAAGTGAGAGGGAGAAAGTATGTATGCTACTAAGTCTTGTTGCCCACGCCGGTGGGTATAGAACGATGGTAGGTGCCCATAATACTGTTTGAATGTCAGATGCACATGGGTGGTTGTGTTGTCTTCTTCGGGTGTGGCAGACGTCGGCGCCTGGCACACTATTGATGCCTAGAGGCATGTAAGGGGTTTTACCATGTTCTCCTGGTAAGGTAAATGCCGGCGCCCACAACACTATCGATGCCCAGAGGCATGTGGGGGAAGCCTTACCGTATAGGAGTTAATGACACCCATAATACTATAGGGGAAAATATCGGCGCCTACAACACTGCTTGGGTTCTGTCGTGCCAGGGAGGTCACAGAGTACTGTTTCTGCAGGTGTACAGGGTATGGTCCCCGGTATTGCGATTTAACTTGTGTGCTCTGCCGTACTTTGTCCGTTCGTTTCCTGGTCCTTACCAAGCGGACGTCCCCGGTCGATTGGCTCCAGTCGGCTCTGATCGCGCCAGTCGAAAAAAGAGTAGTGAGCAGGGGTTTGGCGCAT